TCCGGTAGGCCCCCCGCCGCCCCCGCCGTTAGTCCGGCGGGGATGGGCCCACTGCGGCAGGAGGCTGTACGCCCGGTGGACGTGCCCGCCTGCCATGGGAGCGAGGAGCGGGCCTGGCTGCACTGTGGGCAGCTGGTGTCATGCGAGGTGTGGGCTCGGAGCACAGGGGCAGAGTCCCACCACTCTTCACAGCCGTGTTCCCACATCTCGTGAACGCCACCGCCACCACTGAGGTTCTGCTTCATGGGGTGGTAGGTGTGGGCCGATCGCTGTCGCTGCCTCATGACCTCGCCCCTTGGAGTTATCCACTTATTTATTTTACGTGTAATCACTGTACATCCTCACAGTGTACATGAGAGTATTTACCAGCGTGGAAACACACGACACGCATCACATACATGTCACACACCACACAGCACAGTAGTCTAGTCCCGGGCTTTACTGTACACGTCACAGGTGACTTCATTTTTGTTAAATGTTCTTTGTCCCCTCCCCCCACTTTAAGACAAGCTAGTGGTTTCTTTTTCGGTGCAAAGGTTAAGAGTGTGCTGTTCAATTTCCACGGTTTTGCACACGTGCCAGCTTTACCTCTGCTGATCTCTGACTCCATCCCGTGTGGCTGAAGAAGGTACCGCCTGTATCTGTGACCTCTCCCGAGACGTGTGGCCTGCCATGGCTGAGCTGGAAGCTGTCCACGTGCACGTGGTAGCACGCGCCCACTGCTCGGTCGTCACGTGTCCGTCGGGTCAGCGTGGCCGGGCCCTGTCCCCACAGTGAAGACGGGGCGGTGTGCTCTGGCTGCTGCTGTGGCACGGCTTCCTCTTTCAGTTGGCGTCATGTATTTTGATGGTCTACTAGGCATGCGGGTGTGGGTAAGGTTTTGTCTTCTTGCTGTATCGAGCTTTCCATTAATTCTTAATGTCTTTAATCTCTTATATCTTCTTAAATTTAAAGTCTATTTTCTTTATTCCCCTTGATGCTTCTTTCTTTCTTTCTGTGAGAGAGGTGGTCAGAAGGCTCTCCGGCAGGTCCTCGCACCTGCTCACCGCCCCCCCATCTCAGCTGTGGTCCCTGAGCCCCGAGCACATGCCTGGCCTGCCAGGGAGGGCCTGGGGCGCGAGCCCCCATGTGGCCAGGCCGGCCCCTGCTGGACTAGCCGCTGGCCTGCCACACGTTATGTGGCCTAGCGGAGGAGGCGCCTTCGCCCTTGGTCCCCGTGTGCAGAACATCGTCTTCAGTTTTTGTTTTCAACATGCTTGTTTATTTGGATTTAAATGACCCAAATAGTGGGGTCCTGCCTGATCCTCTGTCTTTGGATGAGCGAGCTCGGTGCATTCGCAGCGAGAGTCCTTGGTGGGGATGGGCCCCCACTCTCGCCTTACTCTCCATGCCTCCCGTGGCTCTTTCTGCTCCTTATTTCCTGCATCACTCTCTTTTTGTGTCTTGTGGATTTTCTCTTGTAGTGGAATGCTGAAATTCCTTCCTCATGTCTTTCCTGCTTCTCTGTAGCTACCGTCTGGCTCCCCAGGGTCTGACTCCTCATGCTGAAATTGCAAGTCTGTCTGTACCTGTGTCGGCTGAGCCTCTGCCCCTGCAGCCCCGCCCTCCCCCTCTGGCTAGGGTCACACGGAATGCCATCCCACACTTCAACTGTGCCAAGCATAGGCTGACCCTTATAGATGCATTCGTTTCTTAAATCATGTAGAAAACGGGATTGGGGCTACACCCCAAGATTCCACTAATACCGGTTTCTAGACCACTAATTGTTTCGTAAATATATTTCTTAAAGCACGTAGAAACAAAAAGGGATGACAACAGTTGTTACAATAATACATCCATAGCATGTGCAGAGGCATGCCGCCATTATGGGTAGGCAGTGACCAGCCTTCATATCACCTTGAGTTCACTTCCACTGTATTCCTCACTTCCTCTTGTGGCTCAAGTCACCATCTAGTCCTTTCATTTCCTGGGTCTCCTGGTAACACAGTCCTCAGCTTTTGTTTGTCCTGGAATGCTTTAATCTCTTTCTCACTCTGGGACGACAGTTTTTCTGGGTATAAAAATCTCAGTTGACAGGATTTTTCTATTGGCACTTGGCGCTGACTTCTGGCCGCCGTGTCTCTGAGGAGCAGTGTACAGTTACTTAGAGGGCCCTAGTGTGTGAGAGTTGCTTATCGTTTGCTGCTTTCAGATGGAAGGAATCCTCTCTTTCTCAAATGTTAGATTAAAATGTGTCTTAGCATAGATCTCTCTGAACCCATATTACTCAGAATTCATTGAGTTTCCTGGTTGTTTATTTCATGTCTTTCACCATATCTGGAAAGTTTTCAGGCATGCGGTCTTGTGTTTGTCTTTGTTTGTTTAATTTGCTTTAGGGCATGATCATTTGCCAGACAGAAAAAGAGAGAAAGTGAGAAAGTACCCCCAGGGAATGGCCACAACACAATCCCTTCTGTTTCATTTTCCTCCCAGAATTTTGGGCACACACATGTACTTGTGCCGGGACTCCATCCTCACAGTTGGCCATGCAGGATCCAGCTGCCTTAACCACA